GGGGGGGGGGGGGGGGGGGGGGGGGGGGCACACAGGTGTGTGTTAGTGTGTGTTCAGTTCAGGTGTTGTTGGTGTTGATTCTTCAGCTCGATGTTTTCCCCCGAGGAGACAAACTCCCATCGCACAACCTGACGGACAGAGAGGACACAATGTTAGCATCATTAGCATCGTTAGCTCGTCCTGTCTTTTTAGAACATTTCACACTGTAGGATGTTCAGTGAAGACAGTTTAATGTACCGCGCACACACACTGGGTCTCCCTCATGAAATGTTTGTAAATCTGTGAGTCGCAAACAGAGACAGAAACTTTACTGACACTGAAACTGAAGTTATTTCAGGTGCAACACATTTGATTTCCTTCTGTCAGTGGAGGTGTGACAAGGACAGGTACATCAGAGGCCGTTAACTCTGTGTCCTCTGTCGGAGGAACCATCCAAATAGTTAAACAAAAACAGTTTGACATGAAACTTGATGCAAAAAACAAACAAGTACAGAAGGCTCCACCCACTCCCAGCTCTCTGCTGCTTACATCATCAGAGAGACGTCTCCGCCTCAGCATCATTTGTCTCTGTATTTAAATTAAAGCACTATTAAAACATGGTAATCCAGACAGTCTGATGCCACAGTGGCCCTCCGTTAACTTTAACAACAGGTAACGACATCACAGCGTCTCCGTCCAAATCTCTAACAGGTTCAGGTTCACACGCTGCCCGCTGTGGGTGGAGTCAGACATCGACAGGTCTTGTTAAACCAAACCTGAAATAATGTTTACGTCTCCCACATCACGTCTGTGATGATTAAATTAAAGAAAAATGACAGTTTGGGGATGCGCTGCACTCAGAGGGCAGAGGAGGAGCGCGCTGGTTTATTTTATTTGTTGAACTCACTTCAAATTCATCTTTGTGTGAACGTAACAGCACAATATGAACAAAAGTGTAATTTCTAATATGACAACATCAACGTTCAGTATCTTATTGACACTACGATCAGTCAGACGCAGGCGTAGATTTTGTCAGTGCCTACGAAAAGATCGGAGTTGCTAACATATTGATGAATAAATTTCCTTCTGACAACAGTTTACACACAAATTCATCCTGCTCACGTTTCATGAACGAGACCCCGTGTGTGTCTATGTGCATATTAACAGAAACTGAATAACGTTAAAAATCTGAACTAAATTAGTCATATTGACAATTAGTCATTTTCTAAGCAAAGTTATAAAAACTGAATGCTTCTTAAATGTTAATATTTCCTGGTGTTTTCAGTCTGAGAGTTAACTGAAATCTTTGGGTTTTAAAGACGTCATCTTTAATTCACCATTTTACTGGCATTGTCAAACTGTCATACTAAAAGGTTAAACGACCCCCCAGCATTCATACCATTTCTTTTTACCACTTCTAATATTTCATGTTCCCATTTTTAAACATTATCTCAAACTTTTACCAGCATACGAAGCAGGTAAAATAAGAGAAACTCCCCATCAAAGGTTTCTCAGTGTTTGTGCAGCCTACATCACACTGACCGACACCTGAGGGCAATTAATCCCATATTCATCACAATCACTACGTTGGCTTCCAACCTGTGTTAAGGCCAAAACACACCGGCGGCGTACGACGCATGTCAAAACAGCCGCCCCCATTATTTTCCAGTGTTTCCCATACATTCATTTATCTGTGGTGGTGCGCCACGAATAAATTATCTCCGCCAGATATAGATTTTTATGCTTTTGGCGCTACCTGTTCGACCTCGCTCATAAACACATTATAATGGGACTCAATGTCTGTGAATGTAGCTTGTCGTTACAATTCCGGTGCAATAGGTGGCGGTATGCATCGTAAAGATGCACTTAACGCACCTGGTCCACCAGAAGAAGAAGAAGCAGACGTAGTAGCAGAACGGATCCAAAGACCTCTCGGTATAAATATGTGGGCAAACAAGTCCAAAAGTGGTCCGAACAACTCTAACTCATCATGTTATATTAGCCTGTGTCTGTATTAACATAGCTGGAAGCTCAACATGTGCACAGACACTAACTCATGCTGTTAGTAGTGTTAACTACAGCTCGAGTCCTGTAGCAGCTCGCCCCCGTTAATCAATTACAGCGGCTCCATCGGCAACGGGAGCTGCGTGACAACCCCCGTCTGTCGCGCGACAACTCTCTATTTTACGCGGCTCTTCTATTTTTGTCGTGCTACGCTCCCCTACGCGACCCTCCAGCAGATAAAAACTACATGAAATAGTGTGCTAAATGTGTTTTTAAATGAATAAACCATTATCAGAGGTGATATGTGATGACTTTTTTTTCATGCATTTACCCATGTTTATCCGTGACATTGTGTAAATGTCCGTGGCGTGACATTTGAAAGCGAGTAGATGACAAACAGTACAGTAAACTTGCAGATAAGTCAAATATATGTAATAACTTAGGTGGAAAATGCTTTAACATTTCATGCAGCCTACATGCAGCCTCTCGGCTCAGCAAACGGTAAACAACCCCGCTGGCTTCTCTACGTGTCGCTTCCGTACGCAGTCAGT